GCAGCGCAATGTGTGCCCAACGCTCTTGATGTACATGGGCCCATTGTTGCGGTGCGTCCACGAGTGCATCTGGCCGTCCACTGCCGACTTTGTCAGGGACACGAGCCCGTCGTCATGTTGGGCATCCACTTCCAGCAGGCACCCACGACCCGCAGCATTTCGAGCGAACGTGGAGCCCAAAGCCGCAGCGTACACATTCATAGCAGTTTCCAAATAATGGGTTGACCGTCCCAAGACAGGGTCTTCTCAACATTAAGGCCCGGCCAACTCAGCCCCAAACGCGCCCGCTACTACGCGGCAGCGCGATGATTGAACATCCCACTGGATTGCCGCCCCAATTGTTGCCCAAAGTATTGCCGGAAATGTCCCGCCCAACGCTCATGCGATAAAATCGGGTCGGGCGAAAGGGGGGGTTTGGGAAAGGGGGGGTTACGAAATCTGCTGCATGCAGCTGGTTTCGGCCCCGCCGCGGGGCCCATTCCTCGATACATGGGCGCCTCCCAGCGCCGGGAGGCGCCGGGAAAATCAGCTACGTGAGCTGATTCTCAAACCCCCCCTTTGCTATCCCCCCCTTCCGCCCGACCCGATAAAACAAAATTCAACCCTTGGTAATAAACATCGCGCGTCATGGGAAACTGTTCGACGACACTCGTTTCGCATTTTGGGATGCGGTTTGGGCAACGTTTTGACGCAATGTTGGGCAGACGCAGTCGTCGTTTTGTGTAGCGTTTCGGCATTTGTGGATGACATTCGATATGTTGGGCCCACTATATTCTGTGGCACCACCACTTCGTCTGAGTCCTGAGCACGGCACGGGACATGGACTTGCTGGTCACGAGCGGGGGCGGTGCAACGAGAGGGGCAGCCCAGAGCCAAAAGGGCCAATTTGAGACGCACTTCAGCAGATCCTTGATCGGATCCCAGCGTTAGTATGGTCGCGACTAGCCTATCCTAGCCAGCCGTCGGAGCAATAGGGTGAGCAGGAGCTGCCGGCATGGCCGTTACGCCCAGGTGCGCGATGAGTTCTAGAGGAACCTCATCTCTAGTTTATGTTTGCAGTGTCGTGGAACTTTCTTTGGATCCCACGACGGCGTCGAACTTCTCTGTGCACTGAAGGTCTGCGTCGAGCAGCTTGTGGACTGGGTCGTCATGATACGGTCGTCCATGAAGGCAAGTCCTTGTGCAGGCTGCCAAAGGGTTAACGCTGCGATCATCGTCGATGGGCCACGCGTGTCACCATGTGGCAACCCTCTTGTCGGATGGATTTGCTTCGCAATGTATGGGTTGACACAGTCATATCTCTGCGCTCTCCAAGCCTCCACTGCCGTGAAGGTACGTCTAGCACGCGTTCTATACCAGGTCTTAGCTTGGGCGCCGATCGCGTGGTCAGAATTATCATATGATCGTGACTGGTCGACCTCGTTTTCCGCGTCGGAGTTCTCGCAGTCGTGTAACCACGTTGTAATCGCATGTGTTATTGACACCACATTTCGTCCAGCATATGAGTTGTCAGGAGGTTGTGAGAGACCCGTCGACAGAGCTGAGAGCCATATACGTTCCAGTTCGCTTTCTGGGGATGCCAACAACACACCAAGGGAAGATAGCGTCGAGCATGGCCGCTGGGAGGATCCTTTGCTGGTCCACTGACTCCCTGCAGCTACCGCAACATTTGTTCGGAAACGTTGCCTCCGCCGATGTCCACCCGTCTATGTCTGGAGCACAGCGAGACTTAGTGACCGCTCTCTGGAAGGCGGGCAATGACGGGAGCCAGCACCGACCCTCCAAGGATTGCCAGGAGTCAATGTTGGCGAGTTTGTAATGCCATGTGTGGTAGTTGTTTGCCGCGTCTGGGTTTGGCGCCCATTGTTCCTTCCACTCCTCTCTTCGACATCAATTGATGCCGACGGGGATCCTTTGCGGAACATGAGGGTGGCGAGTTTGTAGATGTGTTTTTGTTTGTCCAGGTGCAGATTGTCTTCCTTCATTCACGAGTCCGTTCACCCTCGATGTTCTCCTTGTTGGTGCAGTTTGTCAGGAGTGCATCAGCGATCCTATCCTAGCAAGCTCGAGCGAGGCCATCGCACATCGTCATCAAGGTTATGTCTCACCATGTTCGGATGTTTCCTCAACTTGTTTGGACAGCACCTATGGAGTCGGAGTAGACGCCAAATTGCACTTGTCTGAGCTTTGCGGGTGAGCAGGTCCCTGAGATGGGCTCGACGTATGGAAAAGACCCCTTTGGTCGCATACCAGGTGCTCAACAGCGATGTAGTGTTCCTCCACCCCGATCTTCAGTTGAGAGTGTACCGTGCAGGGTGATGAAGGCGATGCTGAGGCCGATGGTACACCAATTCATGCAGCTCGCACTTGACCGAACCATGATGCGGTACTCCTGGGATCAATCGCATGTCGAGGCACGTCGGCAAGCAGGGGGCAGGTGGCCCAAAATATAGACAACGTGTCGGCGTCATCTGCTGGCTGGTAGTCGCGATGGTCTGAGGTGCCATCTGCCATCTAGGTCCGAGCAGCATTGCGTAAGGTGGCCTCCAGTTGAAGTCGCCGATCGTGTAGATGAACTTCCCATGGACAGCACTCGTTTGAAGTAATTGAGGAAGCGACCTCACCAAACGGCATCTGCTTGGCAGGGGCCGTAGATTGACGACAAGTATGTGGCCTTCGCGGTCTTGGTTCTTTCTCGTCTCAGCTGGAAGCCAGAGCACCGCGCATCCACCTTGACGAAGTGTTTCATGGGCGATTGGGGGAGGAGGGTGCGAGCAAGCACCATACGATCCCCATGCTGTGCACATGTTGGTGCTCCATCGTGGCCGCTTCCCAAGTTTGCGAACCTCCTGCAGCAGTACAAACTGGCAATCTCTGTCCTGCACGGGTACCCCTTTCCAAGCGTGCTTTTGAGAGTAACGTCACCTTGATCGTGGCCACCTATGTGTCTCCTCTCAGGAGGTCGTGAAACGATTGCGTTGGGTGTCTTCCCCCATCTCCTGGAGATCTCTACCACGGATGTGTGAAACTTAGCAGTCATCACCAGTACCCTCAAGTGGATCAAGCTCTGACGTAGCCGAAATAGCATCTGGTGGCACGCGGGGCTCCACGAAGGAGTGAGCAGCCCGCGCTGGACACTTGACGACGAAAGCGCCAAAACCAGACTCACGTGTCTGGTTCTCGCTTGGTACCACCGATGCGCTCTGACGTGCAAGCAACCGCGGATCTTTGCAAGACCCTACCTCCCCACCAGCACAGCACACACCCTGAGCGAGCGAAGTCCAGCAGGGGGAGAGACAGGCCGGCAGGAAAGGCGGGTGGCGACGTGGAGCTTGACCCGAACGCCAGGTCTTCGGATCAAGAAAACGGGCGTGCTTGTGCTCACTCGAGCATGTATTCCGAGTTTCTTCATAAGCGGCGGGGGGGCGTCGCCCCCGCCGACAATCCCACATCGACCCCCGTCGCGGGCAGCCACCTCGTGCCGACGCCGCTCCGACCCCCGTCGCGGCGCGACGACGAGGCGAGGTTGACCCCCGTCGGGGGGTACCCCCCACGCTTATCAAGAAACCCAGAGTGCGCGTCGGGTCTGATGTGTTTATCGATGTAGTCAGCCGCCACACCTGCAGCGGGCGTACGGAGCACCAACGTTCTGCGTTTGGTCTTGTTGCGGCAGTACAGGCCACTCGCCACTTCCCGCCTCCGAACTTTTCCACACATTTTGGCCGAGCGATCTTTTTGGCGCGCTTTGACCTCGGGACGCTGGTTGTGCTCGTTGACGGTGGCGTTGTGCATAGTTGTTGTTCCTCGGTCTTCGCCATGTACGTCTTGACTCTCAGGCTGAGCCTGGTGAGGGCCACGCAGTCTTGTCCACGAGGTAGTACATGGCCTGCTTCAAGGTCACGCAGCCCTCGCTGCGGCTGAATCGGCCTGAGGATCCCGCACCTCTGGCACTTGTACTTTTTGACGGTCTGGTGGCTATTACTGCGTGACTCCGCCATCGTAGCATGTGTGACACATATGTTTAGTTGGTGCGTTGTCGGGACCTTGTCGTACCAAGTCTGATACCGAAGCCAGACGTTCGTTCTTACAGATCGTGGCTCAGCGCTCCCAACAGCATGACTCGCCCCACTTACCTGTTGTTTGCTCGCTGCTGGTGGCGTCTACCCTTTGCAGTACCTCCAGTGACACCGCGCCTGCTGCATGCGAGTGCAGGAACGCAACGCTGTAGGCTTCCACCCACATTCACAAAGAAGATGCTGCACAATTTCTGGTACCCCGAAGCCGTCTACCACTGGTGTAGCTGGTGCTGCTGGTGCTAGCTCGTCCTCAGGAATGCTGAAACAACTCCGAGCCACAACGGATGCTGGTCTCGAAGGTGTTCTCGAATATGATGCTCTCGATGACGAGGAGGAGTGCAGCGAGGAGGCAGCATGGATGGGGAGGAGGAGGTGGAGGAAAGAGATTGTGAGGCGAGAGGTGATGTTGCTGACGACGATGACGAGGATGATGCGGATGCGAACTGGGAGAAGGAGGAGGATAATTACGGAGTTGAATGAGCAAGGAGGGGGGAGGAGTGTGAGGGGGAGGACAGCGGGAGAACCATGGCCAGGGGAAGCTGGACGAGGAGGATGCACGGGTAACTGGAACAGGGGCTGAGCGAAGGAAGAAAAGGGGGGGAGGAGGATGCACGGGTAAGGGGAATAGGAGGAGGAAGAGGAGGTATCTGGAATAGGGGCTGAGCGGAGTAAGTTGGACGAGGAGGATACACGGGTAATTAATTGGAATAGGGGCTGAGCGGAGGAAGATGAGGGGGGAGGGGGGGAAGAAAGGAGGAGGAGGAGGATCACGAGCAGGAATGGGAGACATTCGAAGTTGGGGGAGGAGATGGGAAAGGAGGAGGCCAAGGGCGAGGAGAATGTTGAGGGAGGAGGACTCTCCCTCTGTTGGATGGGCGATCTCCAGGGGCCACGTGCCCCTTCCCCCGCTCTCGTGTGACACAGGTCTATTACTGCCGGAAGTCCGTCCCCGCGCGGTACATGAGGATGGTGCACGAGGTGGCGTCTTGTCGTGGTCGTCTTGTCGTCGTCTTGTCTGTCGCCGTCGCCGTCGTCGTCGTCGTCGTCGTCGTCGTCGCCGCTCTCGCCCTCGCCGAGGCCGCCGTCACCCGCGCAGGGCCCGCGCGCCGCGCGCCGCACCGTCGTGCCCAGGCCCAGGGCGTCGACCCCGCGGCCCGCGCCGCGGTCTGCTTGATGGCGTCTCCTCGCATCGCTCGGACGTGTGCTTTTCTTCTCGGCGAGAACCATCGAGGACCATCCTGGACCATCGAGCAACAGGAAACACGCACGAAACCGACAAATGCACGGGAAATGGACGTCCGAGCGACGGCAAGTGATGGCTTGCTTCTCTCCTCCGAGAATCGAACCACAAGAAACAGCATGAGCATCGACTTTCGGCGCTCCGCGCGGTTGTCTCGGAGCCCCCTCGGCGGCGGCTCCAGCGCCGATCCAGGGCTTCTGCACCTGCGCCGCGTCTTCGCCCTCCTGTCTGGTCCGCTCGATGCTTCCCCTCCTCCGAGAAGGAAGCGAGGGAGGGCCAGTCGAGACAACGGCGGTCCTCCCTTGCGTTTTTCGTGTCGACGGGGCCTCCTGGGCGCTTCCAGTTGCAACGACTGGGCCCGCTTCGAACACCAGGCCGGGATGGGCCCCGGGAGGGGTACGTGGACCGACTCTGAGCGGAGTTGTGCTCCTGGCATCGCTCGGGCGTGTGTGTGTTTTTCTCGGCGAGGACCCTTGAGGACCGAGCGAAAACAAACACGCACGCAACCGACAGATGCACGGGGAATGGACGTCCGAGCGACGGCAGGGGGAGGGGTCCGGGGACCGATCTTGAGCGGAGTTGTGCTGGGCGGTCCTTGTCTTTCTTCCCTCCTCCACCGACCGCCATGCCGGCTGAGGCATTGATTGTTGCTTGGCGTGGGGAGTCTTCCCTGTAGAGAACTTCATCCAGGAGGGAAAAACACACAGACACGAGTAATCGTCGGTTCCCCAGAATGTATGCGAAAATATGGGAAGTGGGGGGGAGGACCAACACCCAGAAAATATGCGAAAAGATTTGGAATCCTGTTATTTGTGTGTATTTATTTGTGTCTCCCAGGGCCCCTTCAGTCTTCCCCGCAGAGAACTTCATCGACATCGTCTCTATCCTACGGACCCCTGAGTGGGAGCGAGTCAGGCTTCACACATTCAACGGGAGCAAGTCATGCATCGGACAGCCTGCGTCTTGCAGCGCTTACTGCACTGACCTTTCGGCGTCCTGCAGTAGCACTACTACAGGTACTTAATGGCACTCCCACGCCCGCAGCGGGAAGGCAAAGGGCGCGCTTTCGGAGCTCTTCGGGCGCAGCGGGTATGAGACCAGCAATTTGGTGGTCACGTCTGCGCTTTCTGAACATCCCTTTGTGCCCTTTGTGCTCCCTTCTTTCTCACCTGCGGCCTCTCTGGTGAGGTTACCGCCCAGCCCGGCAGACAATTAGCTCGCGAGGCAAGTCATTGTTGCGATCGCGCTTGACATTGTTTGGCAGTCGTGGGGACGATTCAACGCCGGAGTAACCCCCGACAGTTTTACGGCGATTTGACGGCGCTTGCATTGGGGCCAGTTGGCGGCGCGCTCGCAAAAAGGGGGGGGACTCGAGGGGGGCGGGATTCTAAGAAGACGTGTGGTTTCTTAGAAGGCGGTGGCCTTCTGAAAAGCCTGCTGCTTCGTAGCGGGGGGGTACTGAAAAAAGCAGCCCCCCGTGCCTTGTTCAGAGGTCCCCCCACCCTCTCAGAAGGCCGCCCCACTGCCACCCCCCTTGTGCGCGTTGCCAAGCTGGGGCGGCTTGACTCACAAGTCAGGCTGCGAGTGATCTCGTGGCCTCGGTCATTGCCGCCGCCGTCCGCCGCCTCACCTCGCGGGGTGCCCTGCCCTTTCCCGCGAGGAGTCCAACGACCTGACCAAGGTTCTGAAGGCTCGCCCGCTCTGAGGGTCGTCCTCCGGGTGGGGGCCCGGGCCGATGAGCAGGAGGAGGAGCAGGAGGAGGGAAGGAGTATGCCAGAGTCGATGGGCGCTGAGGCATTTTGCGACGGTGCGATCGGGGGAGGGAGGGAGGGACAGGCAGAGGCAGAGATGGAGACAGACAGCGAGTCGGAGATGAGACAATGAGAGCGAGAGAGAGAGAGAGAGAGAGAGAGTGATACCATACACTCGACACATACGTACGCGCATGTCAAACAAACTCAGGTGGAGCATGGAGGATACGATGACGACACATATGTTTGGGGGGACGCGGAGGACGAGAAAGATGAAGATGCGGAGGGGATGGTTGGTGATTTTGAGCATGTTGCGCCTGCCCAGGCCTTTTGAAGGGCTCGCACCATCGATAAGCATGTCATGTTGCACTTTCTGTTCGCAGGGCGCGCAGAGCAGCAGTCACCGCTCGCATCCCTGGGATAAACTGGTGACGCTCCGCGTATTCCCACCGGCCCTTTCTTTTCCTGCTGCCTAGTCGCGGCCCGACTAGTGTTCGGACGGCTTTCGACCCGCCTCGCGAGCCTGTTGACCAAAAGTATTCCAACCGGCCCATTCAGAAACAATGCCTAGGTGACTTGCATTGATCAGGGAAGTGTGGGAGCATGCTGTGTAACAAAGGGAGGCAGCCGTCGAACCGAAGATCGGGATCAGCCTGCGCAGGCACAGGAGTCAACCATGCGTGCCTTCGCTGATCGTTCTGTATTGGAACCTCCTTGGAAGCTTGCGGGGGCCATCTTTGGGCCCTCGTTGGGCTATGTTGGCTGTCTTCGAGGCCCTGTTGGGACCTTCGTGGGCTCTCGTGGGGCCCTCTTGGGGTCATCTTAGAGGCCATCGATTAACAAGGGGGCCCCCTCCGCTGGAGGCCGAACACTCGCCTCTTGTGGCTGCCTAGGGGCGCTCCGCGGACGCTCTTGGGATGTCTTGGAGCCTTCTTGGGCCCCTCCTAGGGCTTTCTCGGACCAGTCGTCTTGAGGTTCCTGAAGCCCGTCGAACGCGAAACGGCGAAAAAGAACATATCGTTGATGATCGTTCCCAACCCTCCTTGGTTGGGTATTCGTTTTGAATAAGGGATTGTGGTCTCCACCTTCCTTGCTCCCGCCTCCCTCCCTCCTGCGCCCTGCTTCCTGCTTTATTCCCAACCCTCCTTGGTCGGGTATTCGTTTTGACTAGAGCACTGTTCGCGCGTCTCCTCACGCCTCCCTCCTGCCTCCTGCTTGCCTTCTCCTGTCTTGCCTGCGGGGGGCTGCGATCTGTGAAACTGTCGCCACTTTCGAGGCCTGCTGGGGGGCCCAGCACAGTGACGCCACGCGCGGGCCCAAATTAGACCTCGCCATCTCTGGGGGGCTGCGATCTGTGAAACTGTCGCCACTTTCGAGGCCTGCTGGGGGGCCCAGCACAGTGACGCCACGCACGGACCCAAATTAGACCTCGCCATCCCTGGGGGGCTGCGATCTGTGAAACTGTCACCACTTTCGAAGCCTGTTGGGGTGCCCTGCACGGTGACGCCACGCGCGGACCCAAATTAGACCTCGCCATCCTTGGGGGGCTGCGATTTGTGAAACCGTCTCCACTTTCGAGGCCTGCTGGGGGGGCAGCACAGTGACGCCACGCGCGGACCCAAATTAGACCTCGCCATCCCTGGGGGGCTGCGATCTGTGAAACCGTCGCCACTTTCGAGGCCGGCTGGGGGGCCCAATGCAGTGACGCCACACGCAGATTCACATTCGACCTCGCCATCCCTGGGGGGTTGCGATATGTGCTACGTCGTGCTTCTTCGAGACAATGGTGATATTATATGCCGAATGCCTCATGAGTCCGCCCCGAAATATCCTTGCCCGAGAATCCCGGCCCTGCCTGACTGGGTCACGTACGTGCAGGTTGCGGTGGCGGAGCGCCGCGCCATATTGCTTCGCAGCGACGGCTCAGCCGCTGTTTGTGGCTGGGACCGCTGCTGCGACGAGAACCTCATCCCCAGGCCCGTGGCTGGGACGGTTTACGTGCAGGTGTCCGCGAGCGGGCACCACTGCGTGTTTCCCAGGGGCAACGGCACCTTCGAGACGACTGGCTCGAAGGACAAGCGCCTACGCGCGGCCCCTGTGGTATACACGAGTCGCCGCTGGAGGCAGGGAGAGAGACGTGTGCCACACTGTCAGGCCCTCGATCACATCATCCTCGAACCGTTATTGTTTCTGGGACCTCGCCGCGGACTCAAGTTCGATCTCGCCATCTCTCGGGGGCTGCGATATGCGATCCCCGCTTTCGAAGTGGTTAGGGGTGCTCAGGGATTGTAAATAATCGTTTTTTTTTCGCGTCCTTGTCCTGTAGCCAGCGCCTTGCGAGTCTCCCGGATTCCGTCTGCAGACATATGTAAACCTCGCTCCGTCATCGCCCCCATTATTCAAATCCCCTAAACTATTTGCGCCCCGCGTTTGCGCAGGGGTCGGGTACGTCGCCATGGTAGTTGATGTTTGAGGATTTGGGGTTCGTTGGGGCCAGTGTGAGGAGCATCGTGGCAACTTGGGGCCGTCTTGGGCCGATCTTGGGACCAAGGTTGAAGCTATGTTGGATGATTGTTGGGCTATGTTGAACGATCTTGTGGGCCATCTTGAGCTGTCCTGGCCATATTGGAGCCACCTTCGGCCAGCGCGACTCCTCTGACACTCTCGACATGTTCCGTGTAGACCCGGGGGATAAGGGAGGGGTCAATCTACCCACAAGCCGCAGTCCGTTTCGCTCACACCCGCCCGCCCGTCCGACACAAAAGTAGCACCCGCGTCTCAACATAAGAAAGAGCGTGTTCTACCGCTGCTGGCGGAAAACCGGGGGGGGTCACTACCGGTTCGAACCCCTCCCCCCCCCCCCCCCCTCCGGAAAACCGGGGGGGGGTCACTACGGTTCGAAACCCCTCCCCCCCCCCCCCCTGCTCATCATGAAAAGGGGGGGGGGGTCACTACCGGTTCGAACCCCTCCCCCCCCCCCCCCCTCTCGAAAACCCAGTGGGGGTGCGGACAGAGGTGGGGACGGTGTTGGTGGGACAGTGGTGAGGGGATAGCGGGACAGTGGTGGGGACAGTGGGACAGTGGGACAGTGGGGACGGTAGTGGTGGGGACAGTGGTGGGGACAATGGTGGGAACAGGGGGGGACAGTGGACAGTGGTGGTGACGGTGGTGGTGGGGACAGTGGTGTGGGGACAATGGGAATGAGGTGGAAACAGTGGGACAGTGGAGGGTACAATGGTGGTGGGGACAGTGGTGAAGGCGGTGGCGAGGACGGCGGTGGGACAATGGGACAGAGGTACAGTGGGGACAGTGGTGGGGACAGTGGGGACAGTGGTGGGAACAGTGGGACAGCTCAGTGGGACAGCGGAGGAGTCAGTGGGACAGTGGGGACAGTGGGGATAGTCGGGCAGTGGTTGGGGCCGTGGAGACAGTGGGGAGAGTGGAACCGTGGTGGGAACAGTTCTGGGGACAGCGGGGACAGTGCGACAGTGGTGGGGCCACTGGTGGGGACAGTAGGGGCGGTGGTGGAACCAGTGGGGACAGCGGTGGTGAGGACAGTGGTGCTGGGAACACCAGTGGGGGATGTGATGCGGACGGTGGTGGGGACCGGGAGTCGTTTGCTGGCGGTGAGTAGGGGGGGGGGGGGGGGGGGGGGGGGGGGGGGGGGGGGGGGGGAACCGGTAGTAGTGACCCCCCCTCGTTTTTCCGGATCCGAAGGGGGGGGGGGGGGGGGGGGGGAGGGGTTCGAACCAGTAGTGACCCCCCCGGCTTTCGAGCGGGAGGGGGGGGGGGGGGGGAGGGGTTAGGGGGGGGGGGGTTTTGCCGGGGGAGCGGGGGGAGGGGGGGGGGGGGAGGGGTTCCAGCAGGGGGGGGGGGATTTTCGGAGGGGGGGGGGGGGGGCGACCCCGGGCCCGGAGGAAAAGGTTGGCAATTTTACACAGTAGAGCGGCGGTGGATCACGCTCTCTCCAACATAAGCAGCGGCCAAAATTGGTTGGGCAGCCATTGCTTACCATTTCAGTAGCAAGGTGTGCGACGCAAGTGAGGTGCGCCGTGCGTGCCAAGCGCACCAGGTGCGTCAGGCGCCCCAGGAGCCCAAGCTTGCCAAGCGCGCCTGGTGTGCTGTATGCGCCGCCTTCTCCAAATGCGGCAGGGTGTGCCGCGCGCTCCAGCCGCGCAGGTGATCGACGCTCGCAGAGTGTGCCAGGTACGCAAGCGCACGTGACAGCACACGTGGGGAGACACGTCGACTCCACCGCCACCACCACCATCCATGCCAAAAACGAATACACACTGCGGTGGGGTGGCCATCGTGGTGCACGCCATGTGCAGCCTGAGTCGCTTGACCTTGGCTTTGACATGGGTGGAGGGCCGGGCCCAACGCACACTATGCCAACGTCCCCGCCGTCCCCGTCCGCAAGGCAGTACACAGTGATCGCTTCCGTGCGCGCACGGTCCAGCATCTTGCTGCCAACTGTTTTGTTGTAGGTTCCTTGGCAGGTATTGTCTTGGCATCGCTCGGACGTGCGCATTGTTTTTTCGGCGAGGACCGTCGAGGAGCATCCTTGATCATATGGCGAAAACACACGCACAATACCAATACAAAAAACACAGGGAATGAACGTCAGAGCGATGGCCAGGTATTGTGGGGGGATGGGATGGTTTCGGGTGGGCGGCCAGTCGATGGGGGTACTCTCCAGTGCCGCTGCCGCGCATATCCGCCACCGCGCTTTTGTTTAGAGCGCTCTAGCGAGGTTGCGGTGCGGCCCAGCATGCACAGAGTTGCGCGACACGGTGATTGCACCACACTCATTGAATCACCCACATTGCACCACACACTATTGCGCCACATCGATTGCAGCACGTGATTCCGTCGGGTGTTTTCGGAGACCGTATCTGGCGCCTCGACGGGCCGTATCCTGGGTCGCGGAGCGCGCCAGGAGCGACCCAGGAGAACGCCAGGGGCGGCGGAGGGGCGCCGCCAAGAGGGCCCAGCGCAGATCAAAGAACTCCGCGAGGAGCTTCGAATGTTTATGTTTATGCCATGTTGTGTCCCTCGAGGTGTACACTTGCTGGTCGGAATATTTGGAGGGTGGGCGGTCAAGGCTCAAAACGTGACACAAATCACGACGGGAGGTTTTTTGTAGTTTTCGGCCTCCGGGGGCCCTTATTGTGCCCGGGGACCGTCGACAAACGGCTCGACACAAAAAATCAATCTCTTGGAAGGGGTCGATGTTTCTTGGTGCTTACGCGATGACGAGATCACATCGTCGGGGTCTGGGTGCGATGCCTCAGCGATCAGATGCGGCTCGATGCTCGCACGGCGCCAGTCTGCATCGTGGCGCGGCCGCTCCGATCTGGCTCTGGCCCCGTGCCGGTGCAGCCGGACCGATCCGATGCACAGCCCGGCCCGATCCCGCTTCCGATCCGAGGTTGTCAGGCTCCAGAGGCCCTCGGACGTCGGCCGGCGCTGGGGCCTGTCGTGGCGTGGCCGCGCGCCTCGTCGGCTATACGCAAGAGTGACCCTGGGTAAGAGTGACCTTTGGTGCGCGGCTTTTTGGGGGCCGCGGGGGGACCAAATCTGGGCGCGCAGCCAGCTGCGACTGCTTCGTTTTCAGCCATCTGGGGACCCATCTGTGCCCGCACCAGAGGTCACTCCTGCGAAAGGTCACTCTTACGTCTAGTCGACATCGGCGCTTCCCCCGCTCCGCCAGGCGCGCACCATGACGCAGGTGCTCAAGCACATCTACGGCGCGCGGGGGGCCGCCCGGCGCCCGCCCCGTGGCCCACCGCGTAGAGGTTTGGGCACTGCTGCAGTGCTGCCTTGACGCCCGGGGCAGCCCAGGCTGCAGTCGGCCCGGACTAGCAGGTCGACCCTGCCAAATCAAGGGTACACTTTTGTGTCCTGTGTCTCGCGGCCCATGCTTCTTACATTCTTGTGGCAACGTGGCCCTCGGAAGGGTTTTGTGTCCTCTCGCGTGTCCTGTCCAATCGAGGCCGACTGTCACCACCCACCAAACCACCCCAACCCAACCCGAAGGCCTCATTTTGCCCTCCATTTCCAGTGGGGGGGGTCGGGGAACATAAAAAAAAACACATATGGAGCCCATACCCCCCCCAACCCGAAATTCGGGTCTTCGGGTTGGGTTGGGGTTGTCTGGTAGGTAGTCAGATTGTGCACCTCCCCGCCTTCTCCGTGCACTCGGTTGCCAGATTGTGCGCGAGTGTCACGGCGCACTCGTCGCTTGGGAGCATTCCGACTTGCAGTGCGGGCTCTGTCCCCCAGGGGCTCGGCACAAGCATCTCGGCTTTTTGGACCGACAATCCCTTGCACAGCAGGTGCCGACGTCCACTCGCCATGAAGCAGGCGGGTCCGGTCCTGAGGGCAACGAGTTCTGAGGTTGTTCGCCACCGTTCGGTTCCGCGCGCCTTCCACGGGCTCCCAGGTTGTTTGAAAACTACTCAGGGCGACGAGTTGCTCTTGGGCGTAGACGCAGGCGTCCAGGGCCAATCATGGGTCCAAGGATCTCAAGGGCAACGATGGGGGGGCGACTGGGCCAGGGTGTGAGCATCGCCCCACATTTGCCCACTCGTCGCTGCTCGGGTCCTCGGCCCGCCACTCTGCCCATGAGCGCACGGCTTCGCCATCGGGGGCCTACAGTCGGTGCGCTGAAGAAGGAACCCTGTTCGTTGGGGAGGGGCTCCGTGTTCCTTAATTGCTTCACAGCTTGCCTCAGGGTTTCCTCATGTTTTCGATGGGAAAATCGAAGTTTAACTCATGGAAAAAGGGGCCTCGTTCCTTCTTTAGGGTTCCTTAGGTCAACGCCCCGACTGTACCGCCGGTCCACCGGCGCTGCCTCGCCGATGTCGTGTCGGTCACTCCCCCGTCGACGCCCCCCCGCAGGATCGGTGCCCACGCCCTGCCCGCCTGGTGTCAGGAGGGGAAAAAACACACAGACACAGTTAATCGTCGATTCCCAAGAAAGTATGGGAAAATATGGGAAGTGGGGGGGAAGACAAAAATTTGGGAAAGATTGGAAAATATAGGGAATCCTTTTATTCGTGTGTATTCATTTGTGTGTCTCAGGGCCCCTTCATGGTGGGGAGAGGCGCCCGCCTTTGGACTGCACCGGGCCTGCGCCCAGCCCGGGCCTCCCCGTGGGCTCGGCGCCGGCGCGGCGCCCCCATGGCGGGCGCGCGTGTGGCCGAACGCCGGCAGTGGCCTGGAACTTCGTGGGCCCCGGAAACGGCAGGGCCGTTTTGTCACCGTTTCAAAAAAAAAATCCCTTGAACATGGAAGTGGCAAAAAATCGGCGACCGGAAACGGCGAAAAAACGACTCCAGGATTGAAATCGGAGCCGGAACCGGTCAAAAATCGGCGACGGAACCGGCAAAAAAACAGCGTCGGAACCGGCAACAAACCTGCAAAACGGAACCGGTAAAAAAACGGCCCTGTCGTTTCCAGGGCCCACTGAGGCCCCGAACCGGCTGACATCGAGCAATTGCGGTCGGGACGAGGTATGAGATCGAGGTCGGTTCGGGGAGGGTTTCCTGGTGTTCTTCGTGTCTGATATGTGTGTTGTGCGTCTTGGGGGATGGTACCCTCGGGTGTTCTTCAGTTTGCCAGGCGGAGGGCCTCATGGTCTCGAAGGGCGCCCTTTGCCCTAGGCCTGGCCGTAGCGCGGACGCAACGCCGCGATCCCTCCAGGCTGAGCGATGCACGAGGCGTCAGGAGCACGCGCGCGTGTCATCGCTCGGACGTGTGCATTTTTTTTCTCGGCGACGGCCATCGAGGACCATCCTTGATCATCTGGCGAAAAGTACACGCACGAAACCGAGAGAAAAAAACACAGGGAATGGACGTCCGAGCGATGGCGAGCGTTGAGCTCGGGGCCCTGTTCGGTCGCGTCGCTGCACGGCGCGCAGGCCCGGTGCGGGCGCGTCGGCGCCGGGCGGGGGGGTCGGGGCGGGCGCTCCCGCCGTGGCGTGTCTCGGGGGGTCGGGGGGGGGAGGCACCCGAGGGCGGGCCCAGCGGGCCCCACCCAAGAAAGAAGGGTGAGTAAGACGATAGGCGGGCTCTCGGGGGCCTCTCGGCGGTATTTCTGGGCCTCCTGGGGCGTCGCGGGGGCCTCTAGGGATCCTCTTGGGGGGCTCTTGGGGGCTCCCGGGGGCCTCTGGGGAGCTGCTTGGGGCCCCCGACGTCGTGGTCCGGGCCACCCGCGGAGGCGCGAAGATGCAGTCGGCCCGGATTAGTATTAAGGGCCTGTCCCCTACAGGGGGATTTTCGACGAAAAATTGAAAATGCCCACAAAAAAGTTCAAAAGTAGTCCAAACATAGTCTGTGGACTTTTTTTTGAGTGTTGTTTAACCTTTTTGATTGTATTTTGGGAGTATGTTTACTTTTTCGTCGAAAATCCCCCTGTAGGGGGACACGCCCGACATAACATTAGTAGGTCGACCCTGCCAAATCAAGGGTACCTTTGTGTCCTGTGTCTCGCGACCCGTGCCTCCCGCATTCCTATGGCAATGTGGCCATCGGAAGGGTCTTTTGTCCTCTCGCGTGTCTTGTCCGATGAAGTCCGACCGCACTCCCGCCCTCGTGCGTCGAGGGCGCCGAGGTAGGCGAGCATCGCGTGGCACGATGCGCGAAGTTTAAGACGGGCCTGTCCCCCTACAGGGGGATTTTCGACGAACAATAAGAAATACCCCAACAATAGTCAAAAAATAATGCAAAAATAGTCTGGGGACTATTTTTGTAGTATTTTGTTACCTTTGTTCACCATGTTGGGGGTATTTTGATTTTTCGTCGAAAATCCCCCTGTAGTGGGACACGCCCGACACAAGCGAAGTTGGATGACCCAGGTGGCGGCCTCACAGGGAGGGGCCCAGACCGTCAGACGCGGTTGCCTCACAGCGTGGGCCCCAAAGTAGCCTCGAGTTCATCTCTATTCCTCGACTCAGGAGGGGAAACACACACAGACACAATGCATCGTCGATTCTCCAGAAAATATGGGAAACATGGGATGTTGGGGGGGGAGACAAAAAGCCAAAACATATAGGGAAATATGGGGGAATCCTGTTATTTGTGTCTATTTACTTGTGCGTCCCAGGGCCCCTTCATAGACTGCAAGAACAGAGGCGATGACCATCTGAGAGTTGTGCCCTCAGAAGCAGGGCGAATAAATTCAAGCGACCACCGACGCCAGGCGATGCCAGTCCCAGGGGTACCATTGTCTTCCGGGCTGACAGCAGACCTTCCATCCGTGCAGTTGGTGCAGAGTGTGAAAGGGTTTTCTTACCAAAGTTTGGCACGAGTTTTCCGTTTCAAACAAGGGACCGCCCTTTGTCCGTCTAAAAGATGCAGGGTTTCATCAGTGTGGCAGTATTTGTTGATGGAATTCTAGACGTTTCGCGTAACCCCACCAGTCTCAGGTCAATTAGTTCTGCTCGTAGCCCGAGTTGACTTGTGACGCCGCCGGCGCCTTCGCCTGCGGTTGCGACAAAAAAAGTAACCCCACCAGCCCTGTTGTTCTCTTTCACCCTTCTTCTTCCTTTGCGCTAATTTAGGCCGTTGCTAATCTGCAGTGCCCTGACGCCGCCCGACCTGTCCCTCGCCGCGGTCGCGATCAAAAAGTAACCCCACCAGCTCATCCATAAACGATGCCCAGAGGAATTGCCTCGATCAGGGAAGTGGTCAGCACGCAGAGGAAGGGTCCCCAATGGAGGCCTCATGGAGCGTTTTGGGGGCCTCTTGCCGGTCCCGGACGCCTCTTAGAGCGTCTCGGGTGCTTCGGAGAGCTTTTTGGGGCCTCTTGGGGGCCTCTTGGGGGTCTCTTGGGGGCCTCTTGGTCTCCCGTTGGGGCCTCCTGGGGCCTCCTGGGAGCCTTTCGGGGCACTCGTGAAGCGCTCTTGGGATCCTTGGGAGCGCTATTGGAGCCCTCTTGGGCCATATTGGAGCCATCTTGAATCCTCGGATGGCCATCGGAAGCGAAACGGCGAGAAAGCCCAAAAAACACTGATTTCCGCAAGGTTTTGGAAGGATGTTGGCCTCTTCGGGGCCTCTTGGGGGAGCTCTTTGGCCACCTGGAGCTTGGAGCGGTCTTCGGGCCTCTTGGAGCATCGCGGGAGCCATCTTGAGGCATCTTGGGATATCGTGAGCCATCTTGGAGGTTATCTTGGACTCTCCCAGGCGCTTTTGGAGTCATCCTAAGCCTTGCCCCCCCCCCGAGGAGGCCAAAATGTGGCCGAATCTTTTAAGACAAATCAATGATTTTGGCATTCTCGCCGAGGCCTCTTGGAGTGCCTTGAGTGACTCTGGGGGGCCTCTTGGGGCCCCCATGGGGGTCTCTTGGGAGCCTCTTGGTGGCATCCTGGGGGCCTCTTGAGGGCCTATTGGGGCCTCCTGGCCACCTCTTGGGGCCCTCTTGGGGCACCCTTGGGAGCGTTGGGAGCGCTCTTGGGGGCATCTCGGAGGAGATCGATTAAAGAAGGGGGGGGTCTTACTTAGCACTGCCTTCCCCAAAGGCCAAAATGGGGCCAAAATCATGGTAAAACAAATGATTTGGGTTTCCTCGCCGAGGCCGTTTTTGACGCTCCGGCGACCCGCGGAACGCCGTTCCAGGTCCAGGGGAAGGGGGCAGGGGGAGTGGTCAAGTTAGCCAGCTCGAACGAGCCAGAGGACTCCGTCCACTCCCACCCGCCCTCCCACAACATAAGAAGCAAGTGCGTCGCGTCCGACGCCTGTCGTTCATCTTATATCGCAGGCGGTCTAGACGTTCAGCGCGCGACATGAGCTGCGTCCCACTCCTGCCGCGTATTGAGCAACGTCGACGAGAAACAAGACCGCGCGCAATGTACGCCGCGCCCCGCTCCGGCCTCTCATGTTGCATCGTTGGCGACAGCATGTCCAGCGCGCGAAGTGCGCCGCGTCTCACTCCAGGCACGCGCGTTGTACCGCCAATCGTTTCGCTCCTGTCGCGCATGGAGGAGGAGGAGGAGGAGGAGGAGGAGGAGGAGGAGGAGGAGGAGGAGGAGGAGGAGGAGGAGGGGAGGGAGAGGGGGAGGGAGGGAGAAACTGAGGACGAAGAGGAAAACGTCTCTTGGGAATTAGCGGGGCGTCCTGGGAGCTGTCTGGTATACGCCTGGGGGCCTCTTGGATATATCTTCCGGTCTGGGATATTGTCAACACGAGTAGGTGCTAACCTCACAATTCTTCAAACACCAAATGAAACATCAATATTTGTGTTGCCCCTGGACGCCTTTTTTCAACCTCTTGGGGGTTTCCTGGGTCTCTTTACGGGCCGCTTGGGAGCCTCTTGGCGCCACCTGGGCCGTCTTAGGGGGCTCTTGGCCCCTCTGACGCCTTCGGAAGCCGTCTTGCGGGCCTCTCTGGGCCGTCTTGGCGCTGTCTTGCAGCAGTTCAGGGCCGTCTTGGGGCCATCTTGGGAGCTTTCTGGGCGATCTGGAAGCTCTATTTAGCCGACTTGGGGCCTTATTGGGGGCCTCTTGGGCTATCTTGGAGCTGTCGTGGAGGCCGCTTGGACCGTTTGGAGCGGTCGGGCACCCGGAGGCCGTTGTGCGCTGCTTTTTGGCCGTCGGGGGAGGCCCTCTTTGCCTTGGCCGGAGGGGTCCGGGGGGTCGGTTTTGGTTTGATTCTAGGCACCAGAGGTCACTGTTGCCAAAGGTCTCTCTTACGTGGACACGACAACGGGCGCGCCGACGGCGAACCGTATTAGCTTGAGGCATTATGACTTGCCGCCCGCCCAGCTCCTCAACCCAACGGGCCGCAGCATCGACGACCAGAAAGTCCATGTTGACGAGCAGACGTCCCCGCGCGATGTGCGCCGCGTCCCATTCCCGTTACGCGATTCGCAGCGCCGACGAGGAGAAAGTACATGCTGGCAAGAAAAACGTCGACGTTGCTGTGTTTTTTGACAGGTAGGACGGGAAGTCCTGCATTGGTTGGCCAGGCGTCCGCGCGCGATGTGCGCCGCGTCCAATTCTTGTTACACGTTTCGCAGCGTCGATGAGAACAACGTCCACGTTGACGAGAACAAAAGTAGATTTCGTATGTTTTTTTGTTATAAAAAATGGGTGGGACGTGACCATCCGCTTAGGGTTACCCGAGCGATGCCCATTCCGTCCCATTGTTGCTGCTGCCACACTTTTCGCAACTCGACGGCATGCTAGCGAGGAAAAGTGGAGGTAGTGTTTTTTTTGAAAGTTCGGACGGCGGGGTTGCTGTCGGCCGGCTTGGTGGGGATGTGAAGGCGCTTAATCATAAGAAGTACGGATAAACCCTTCCCCGAATGGGAAGAACGGGGCGGAAGGGGAAACACCCTAAACCACCTACGCCCTAAAGGGCTGGCGGGATTTCGCGCGGGAGCCCCATTGTGAAACGGGTTGTCCCCATCAGAGTAAGTATTGGGAATGTGTGCAACGAGTCTGTGCGGCGTCAATGCAAAGGAACCACCGCGCCCCAGGCCCGCGCGCAGCCACTGCGGTCTGCGTGACCATTTGAATGGTCTCCAGGTGGCGAGCCGGATAACGTGTTAACAAATCGTGCGTTTTGACGTCGCTGTCATCACATCGCAGAGGAGCTCGCTGAAAAGGAAAAGCGGCTGGGGAAGAGAAGCGGGAGAGGATGAGGAAAACGCGGAAGAAGGGGAGAGGAGGAACATTGGGAGGAGGGGGAAAGGAGGAGGGCAGGCGAGCGGGGGCACGAGGGGGGATGGGGGACAGGAGGGGGAACAGGAGGAAGAGGGAGGCAGGGAGGCAGGAGGAGTGGGACGAGGAGGGGGGTGAGAGGCGCGGCGGGGAGGGACGGAGGTGCGGAGGGCGATCCCCAGCGGCCCGCCCGCCAGGCCGCACCCGGTCGGGCAGGCCGCGGCACTGGAAGAACGTGCGCCCGTCGCCCCGTGCTGGGGGGTGGGCGCCTTCTTCCTGACTCCTCCCGCCCTCCGCCTGTGCTTCGAAGTGGCGTCGCGCCCGCGAGCCCGCCTTTCTTGTCTTGTGTCCTTGAGGTTTCGCGGGCACCCCCCAGAAGGATCTACTTCCTGGCCCCAAGTACCCCACGTGGGGATGCCGCTGTGGGACAGACGGCAGCTGGGTCAGCAGGGTCAAGTGCAGGGGCTGCGGTGCATCGGGCCCGCAGCGTATCTCCGCCATGGGGCCATCGGTGGCTATATAGAGAAGAAATGATGATGATGATGATGATGATGATGATGATGATGATGATGATGATGATGATGATGATGATGATGATGATGATGATGATGATGATGATGATGATGATGTTGATGATGATGATGATGATGATGATGATGCTGATGATGATGATGATGCTGATGCTGATGCTGATGCTGATGCTGCTGATGCTGATGACTGATGATGATGATGATGATGATGAGATGTGATGATGGTGGTGGTGGTGTGGTGGTGGTGTGGTGGTGGTGATGATGATGATGATGATGATGATGATGATGATGATGATGATGATGGTCATGGTCATGGTCATGGTCATGGTCATGGTCATGGTCATGGTCATGGTCATGGTCATGGTCATGGTCATGGTCATGGTCATGGTGATGATGATGAGGAGGAGGAGGAGGTGGAGGAGGAGGAGGAGGAGGAGGGAGGGAGGGAGGAAGGGAGGAAGAGGAGGAGGAAGGGGAGGAGGAGGAGGAGGAGGAGTGAGAAGAGGCTAGGAGGAGGAAGGGGAGGAGGAGTGAGATGGTGCGGAGGAGAGAGAAGAGGCGAAGCCGAACTGTTACCACATGCTTCAAGTTTGGAAGGCTTCCTCTGAAATTTGCCCACGAAAGTGGTCCACGGGAGTCCCACGGCTCTTATTTAAACCAGTGTTCAATGCGAATTGTCCGTAGCCTTTTGGCTCAAGTCTCTCGTGGCCAAACACACATGGATGCATTAATGCATGGTGATCGTTTTCTTATGTATTCACATTTTTGCCGATCGGCGCGGGCAGTCGCGACCCCCCTCCCCTCCCCACTGAGTAGAGAAGGTCTTGGCTGTTTTTGGCTCCTGTTTCAAGCAGTCTCCCACAGGACGCACTGTTGCAGACAGTCGCATTAAGCAGAGGTCCGGAGCCAGACCCCCTGCCCCCCCCCTTCCGCCCAATGTCGAAGTGACGAACGGTCACATCGTCATTGGACCACGTGATGTGTGCAGCTGTGGTCTTACAATACCGTGGCTCTGTATGTGTCGTTGGTGCTGCTGGTGTAGATGTTCTTGCTGTTGTTGTTGCTGCTGGCGTTGTTGCATCGCTTGTCGCGCGAATGATTATTGGACAGTCTTTCGTTTCAAAGGGTGTCAGCCGTAAGATTCAGCGTAGTTGTGATACGATGTAGATGGCAGTGTACTTTTGGCTGGCACACAACCGCATGACGAATGTAGTGTAGCCCTTAGAAGCAACTGATTCCGGGGTCGATGCGTGTTTAAGCTGAACGCAATTGCCGTTTCTCAGTTTTTGGTGGTCCGAGTGGATCGACGATGCACCTCCCCTGACTTTGCCCTCAATTCGTTTGTGTCGGGCGTAGATGTTGTTCATGCTTAAGGCGGGCTTACATTTTGCATGAATCAACTGTTCAACCAGTGTTTGGCACAATCCGACGATAGGGTGCCAAGCCCAAAATGGTTATGTGAATGCCCTCGGGAAAATGCAGAAGGCTCTGACCCGAATGAGTCCTGGCTATTAAGTGCAGGCCCAACTCGGACCACAACAGATCTGGAAAGATTGTGTTGACAACTTCCAACCGGTGTAGTTCCATCGGGACAGGGACAACCATTCGGTACCAGCCAGCTTATTTGACGCTCAGATTCTAGAGACGACAGCTTGTGATTACCTCGTGCTGTAGATGAATGGGCGCCAGCATTGAGGGGACACAACGTCATACCCATTTGGAATCATGATTATGGTGTTCATGTGGAAGTTGCTGCCACTGATGCCGTCGGAGAGCTGGCAACGCGCGTCGGCCAGACGTGCTCGGTCATCCAGATATGCTTCGCGGCAAAACGCGAAACTGTTTATTTTCACGGAGTTGCAATTGCAAGATGTTTGCCAGCGTGGACCCCACGGGCCCAGAGCACGCGAAGGGACTTGGAAGCCCGAAGACAGAGAAGAGCCGCACGACACGTTTCTTTCAAGGGCCGTTCGGTCCACGGCGAGTGCAGTCAAGACGTTGAAATAAGGAACAGTTTGGGATCGGAAGGGGCCCGATGTTTCTTGGGGCCTGCCATGGCTGTTCCTCCAGCCCCCCTCGTGAACGAAGGCGGCTTTGGGGCCTACAAGTGGCTTCGTTCCTTATCTAGCGTTCCCTATTTCCGCGGCCCGACTGTATGTGCATGTTTTAGGCGCTGGCAGGCTTGCGCGCCCTTTGAAAGGCGTCGCGCGCCGATCAGACAATCTCACGCGACGCCAGACGTCGCGCCAAATCCTCGACCGCAGCGCAAGCAACATCACTGCGGGGGGACCGCGCCGCATCGCCGATGCTTCGAATTGTGGTGACAGTTTGGTTCCCGATTCTCTCAACACCGACGTCGCCGACGCATCAGCGATGTGGCGCAATCCCGCGAACCCATCTGCTCGGAACCCCACTTGAGCGACGCAGAGCAGGGCCGATTGCGCAGACGTCTGTTCGTAAGCGCTCCGCGCAAGACGAGGCGTGAGCGCCCCTTGTTTCGTAGCGTGCCGCGCAGGGTGCGATGGCTCCCCGCGTAAGCCACCGTGCAAGGTCGCTATGCCATCGTGCGACAGACCCCTGTACCAGAGGAAGACAAATAGGCATAAACAACTGATGTCGGAGGTCCGCGCGGAGCGCGCCATGGCCGGCGCCGGAGGCGCCGCCAGTTGAGGCCCAGCGCCGATCCGAGACATCCTCGCGATCTTTGTGCGGTTGCTCCTTCTGCGATGTCTTCTCGTCCCTGAAAATGCAGTTTGTTTATCCCCTGGCGATAACGGCCGTGACTCGGCTGGGGTGCGCACGATTGGCGCCAGCGCCAGTTGGGAACGCCCAGGACAGGACAACCAGGGGGGAGGGTGGGGGCAGTGCCCGTATTGGGCGTTAGCGCGAATAAAAAGGAAGACGGGCGCCCGAACGAAGCAAGGGGACATATTCGAAGCCGATGCCTCCCATGGCCAGAAAAGCCCCTTCGATCTCCAAGTCAGCGCTCCTTATGGCAGCACGATGGCTGTATATCATCGTGCGTATGGCCTTGTTTTTCCGCGGAGGAGGAACGGCATACACAGACTTCCTCAGCTCCGCGCGGATTCCTTGGATCGGCGCTGGGATCCCCCTGTCGGCGCCTCCGGCGCCGCTCCTGGCGCGTTCCGCGCCCGGGAAGGGGGTGTAGCGCCGATCCGAAGCGCTATGTTTATGCCTCTATTTGTTCTTCGATATTTGTCATCGTGCGTAAGAGCCCTGTCCTCGGACGGGGCAGCGACGAGGATAGATGCGTTCCAGAGCGTCCCCGAACGCTCTCAGAGCGTTCCGGAACGCCCTGAGAAGGCCGCGGCGCCCGAGACATCTTCCAGAGCCGCTGGATCTCAGAGGTTCTCGATCCTTAGCCTCGCCCGAATCTGTCCGCTTCCGGGCTTCGCCCTGCGCTTCGCGTCGCTCCAGCTCGGGGGAGGCCCCCCCCGCGCAGGTGCTGAGCATCGGCGACTCGGCCGCCGAGCGGCTCGCGCTCCAGGAGCCTCCCTCGCCCCCCCTCTCCGCCACGCGCAGAGAGGGGGGGGGAGGGGGGAGGGCCTCATCCATAGTTGCAAGGCCGGCGCCTTCTAAGAGGCAGCCTCCTTCTAAGAAGGGGCTTCTTAGAAGGACCCCTGCTTCTTAGAAGGCGCGGGCCTCATCCATAGTTGCAAGGCCGGCGCCTTCTAAGAAGCAGGGGTCCTTCTTCGAAGCCCGGGCCCCCCCCCCCCCCCCCCCTTATGCGCGCCCCCCCCCTCCTCGGGCGGCAGGCGCCTCCCCCCTACCCCTCCCGGCCTCCTTCTTAGAAGCCCTCCCCCCCTACCTCTGCCCCCTTGCGCGCGCCCCCCCCCCCTCCTCGGGCGGCGGGCGCCCTCGGAGGAGGAGCACGGTGGGCCAGCGCCGGCGGGGGCCCGCCCGAAAGGGATGGTCCGGGGGCAGCGGTGCAGGAGGAGAAAAAACACACACACACACAGACCCAATGGATAGCCGATTCTCCAGAAAAAATATGGGAAACTATGGGAAGGGCGGGGGGAAGGACGAAAACCTAGAAAACATATAGGAAGATATAGGGGAATCCTGTGACCCACCGGTCGTTGAAAGGAGGTGTTCTTGGCTTCCCAGATCCCAATCTACTTTAAGCGCCTTACGATTTCAAGAACTGGTATTCTTCGTTTTTTTTGGGGGGGGGGGGGCGGGTCCGGGGGCAGCGATGCTCAAGCAGTGGCGAAGCGTCCTGGCGTGCCTATAGTCCTACCAAACAGTGTTCTAAGAACCTTTTGCGGTTCCCACGAAATGTTCTTAGAACAGTTTTGGACGATCGAAGTGGGAACGGAAAGAATGGGTACGATGCTCAACAGCAGTTCCTGTTCATTTTGAACCCGTCAGAAAGGGATGGTCCGGGGGCAGCGATACGCGGGGGACGGGCAGACGGGTTCGGAACGCATCGACCGACGACAGGCCAGCCACAATTGGGGGAGCTGTGGTCCTAACTCCCCTGGGGGACCCATCGATTTCGATACCCCTCTCGAGGGATCGTCAATGCGATGGGGTCCCCCAGGGGGGTAAGGACCACAGCTCCCCCAGTTATGGCTGGTCGGGACAATGGCACATCGATCGCCGGTAGGGGTTGGGTAGCCCCTCCGAGTCCAGGAATGTGCGGATTTGCTGTCTTGGGCCCATCGCCGATCTATCGGCGATGTACAGTGGGGGCGCGCATCAAGAAACTATCTTCCTTTTTCAGGGTATCCTGGGTTTCTTCGTTCCTCGCGCTGCGCGGTGACTTCAGCAGCCGTTGAAAGAGCTGCTGCGTTCAAGGTGCTCCGGGTTTCCCCTCAGGTGTACCTCGCGCACAGGTTTTCAGGGTTGGGTTTCTTGCAAGGGTTTTTGCGGCCGCGCCCGCCCTGTACGCTCGGGACGATCGAAATGGGTACGGAAAGAATGGGTCCGATGTTCAACCAGGACTCGCTGTTCGCGGCGCCGCGGCCTGTGTTCATTTGAGACAGAAGGCCGCCTGCTCAACAGCGGCCGGTGTTGGTTTGGGGCAACATTTGTTGTTGGGCATCGTATCCATTTCTTCCGTGCCCATTTCGGGCGTCCAAATACGCGGGGGATGGGCAGACGGGTTCGGGACGCATCGACCGACAATCGCACATCGATCGCCGGTAGGGGTTTGGTAGCCCCTCCGAGCCCAGGAACGTGCGGATTTGCTGTCTTGGACCCATCGCCGATGTATCGGCGACGTATCGTCAATTCCAGGTCGATGCTCCCCCCTGTGCTCGTCCCCCCATCGTTGCCCCTCAATGGTTGGGTAGCAAGTCATGGGAACCCGCTCTGGCCCACCACGCTTCGGTGCGGCACGCTGTCCGTTTCCCGGCCGCCCAGTGTCATCGTCCCTGGGTTCTCGAGCATTCCGCCCCATGGAGCGGAGCGAACGCTATCCGCTCGCAGGGCATAGCGTGTCGCCAGGGCCGCCGCCGCGACACGCTAATTCAGTAGCAAATCATGGGAGCCTTGCATATCCTCCCAATTCTATCTTCAGAGTGCATTAGCGTATGCTGGCGTCTGGTAGTCGGTGAGAAATCGCCGACTCAGCGTCGATGAGCGTCGATTTAGTGTCGGTGAATGTCGATTCGCGTCGACGAGCGTCGATTCGCAAGAGCCAGCAAGATGGCACGGGAGGTTCCCGTGAGTCGCCAGCGAAGGATTGGCAAGGCTGAGGATCCTCGGATCGCGTCGCTGCAACTGTTTCACTAGGAGCGTCTTTGCGGTGTCTCGGGGCCCAGGACACTCACAGATCGATGCGGCTCGAAAAGTGTGGCAGAGAGATGGGGCTCCGACCATGTTTTTTTCTCACGTTACCAGTTTGAAAAATATCCCTATCCCTATGTTTGGCATCACCTCACCTCGATGCCGATCTTAAGGATTCCCTCAGTTGCTGAGGGCCTATTCCTAAGATTGTCCTCGCTTTTTGCTCGCCCATCTTAGGGATAGGGATAAGGTCGAGGCTGGTTATCACGATGTTGCAAGTATTTCGCGCTGTAGCCCCCTCCGCGCCTGCCGAGCCTTCGCCTCGCGCCGAGGGGGCCATCCACGGCAGCTCCCGGCGAGGCTGCCGAGCCTCCAGCAGCTGCGACACAATTAATCTTCGATTCCCCAGAAAATATGGGAAAATATGGGAAGTGGGGGGGAAGACAAAATCAGAGAAAATATGGGAAAATATAGGGAATTCGTTTATTTGTGTGTATTTATTTGTGTGTCCCAGGGCCCCTTCATGGAGGCCCATGCCAAGAAACACCCTGCTTGCCTCCAGGCTGCCCTGGGTTTCGTGGGTTTCGATGGTGTTGCTGTAGAGAGCGTGTCGTTCCCACACCAGAAATCGATGGACGTCCTGGGGTCTCAGGGCCGGGTCTCTCGTGGAAGGTTGCTTGTGGAGTGGCCTCCATTGTAATTACTTGCTCAACCTGCATCGCGGGCCAGGTGTCTCCAGCGAGGCCGACCCAGCAGGACCACCGGTTGGACGGCAGAACCTACATTGGAGCTACCTTCGGCTCCACCACCGACGGAACCTCGCAGTCAACGACGGAGCTACAACCACCTGGACGACTTGACCAGTTGCCTCCGCCAGAGCCTGAAGGGGATCAAGAGGACAACCATCGACGCAGAGCTCGAGATGCCAAAGAGTAGAAGCACAATGCACGAGCGCATGGATTGGGGCAGCGTGCTCGCCAGTGTTGGCCCCGAGGAGAGCGTCTTCGCCGTGTCTCTCGACCCCCCCGCCGACGCGAAGACCAAGAGCGGCAAGTGCTCCCCGAGGGGCCCCAGCGCCTGGGCCGCCGCCGCGATCGCAAGAGCCCTGAGGTGAGATTGCGCAGCGTGGACTCTGGGTTGCGAGGGCGGCTCCGCGAGGCGAAGGTTAGGTCGGGCCTGTCTACAGGGGGCTAGTCGACGGAGAAAAACAATTAGTAGAAAAATGCTCCAAAATTGCCATTAAATGCTCAAACAATAGTCCGCAGACTATTGTTCGACTATTGTTGGGGTATGTTTCATTTTTAGTCGAAAATCCCCCTGTAGGGGGACAGGCCCGACTTCAGGCTAAGGCTTTGGGGATTTCGAGCTGGCTAGCCAACACGGTGACCGAGCGGGCCCTACGCGAGACGGGCAAGAGACACATGAGGATGCGAGGGTGTCTGGCCGTCAAGAGCGATGGAGCCGATAGAGCTCGTGTTGTATTACAGTGCCGTTTTCAATACATGCTCCGCGTGCGGGTCATGTATTAGCATAGCAGGGATTTAGTATTAAAAACAACGATGGGTTCATGCATACATTTATTCATACATTAATCATGTATTAAAATCATATGTGTTTCAAAATCCCATGAATTAAAAACTGCCCTGTATTCGGTTTTCAATATCATCGCCCGGGTACCGCGGCTGCGGCGAGTCGCGCCATTTCTGTCGGGCCGGAATCAGGCCTCCCGAGCGTGCGCCAACCTCAAGCTCCGACTCTTCAAGGTCGTCGTGAGTGCGACCTTTCTCCAGTCCTGGGCCCCTCCACCGGGGGCACTGGAGGAGCCCGTGAAGGAGTTCAGGGAGGCTATGAAGCCCAAGGAGAACGAGGTGGTGATGCTGCTCAAGAAGGCCTACGGCCCGTGCGACGTCCCAGAGGAACGTGTCGACGAGACTTCGTCCAAGATGACCACCACAAGCTTGGTAGCTATGGAGCTGTAGCCCTGCCTGTGGGTGTTTTGCCACGGGAACAAGGTGGCGGGCATTGCGTTCGCCCGCCTAGACAAAATGCTCATCGGGATCGAGATGAATTGCGACCCCATGAGCCGCGAACTCAAGGAAATCAAGGGCTACCGGAACTGGGGCCAGTGGGAGGCCGTCAAGTTCAATCAGACAGGTCTCGGAATCACCCGGCTTGCTGACGGGGCCATCCAGCATTCGCTCCAGAAGGCGACCAAGAAGGTGTCCATGATCAAGGGCTGGCAGAAGCCCTCCAATGGGAGACAAGCTACCACAACCTGGCAAGACGGTCGGGCAGCTATCTGCAGCTTACAGTATTTCACCAGCCAAAAAATGGGCCGCATCGCCGCCGACACCAGCATGCATCACGGCATCTTACCAGGACGAGGCTACCGAATTAACGGCGCAGAAAGCCTACAAGATTGTCAGGGCAGCCCATGAAGTGGCAGACATCATGATCACCTACCGGCTCCTTCGAGGTCCTGTGTTCGTGACATTTCATAACGCATCTTGGGCAGTGCGACGCTTCGAGGAATCCCAAGGTGGTTTCATCCCTCCCATGGATGAAAGGCATGTCCTAGACGGAGCTCGCTCACCTGCCTCCCCGCTGATGATGGTTTCGAAGATGTGTCCGCGAATGACGCGTTCCAGTTTCGGATGTGAAGTTCAGAGTGGTGACATGGCCGACGAGGAGGCAATCTACGTGCGATTGGCCGACCTAATGATCATGACTGGCAAGGTGAATCTCCGCGCCATCCCCTCCGAACCGCAGAAGATCCCGACTACCATGGGCACTGATTGCAAGGGTCTCTACGATGCGCTGGTGACCAACGTCAGCGCGGGCTTGGGAGCTGATGATCGCAGGAGCGGGACCGGCGCTTCAGGATTACGGCAGAGTGCGGCGTCGAGCCAGGCTACGATGCGACGGATCAGGGGCCATGCCCGCCGACGGTCTCGCCAAGGGAGGCGCTGAAGCTCCGGCTGTGCTGATCGATTCCCACGCCCGCGGCTATTGCAGGCTGGTGAACGACGAAACGTTCACCTCAGCCAGAAGGCGCCTTGCAGCTCGCCGTCGTGACGTCCCTCCCGGACGATGGAGTGATCAGAGATTGTTGGCCTGTCTTCTGTTCAAACGATGAGGATTCCGAGTGCGAGAGCTACGATTGTACTCGGAACAACAGCGAGCACAGCTACTTCCACGAACCCGAGGACGAGGACGAACACGAACTCTCCGTCTGAATCACGCGGCTCCCACAGCTTGTATGTTCATTATATACCCTCGCCCTCTCGAGTCTCTTGCTCGCACGTTTGCATATCTGTATACAGCCATCTTTTAGTCAAGCTACGGTCGTGACAGGCACAGCTATCTCCATCAGCGAAACATCCGTTGATTTTGAGAGGTTGCCGCCGCGGGAGGAGGGATAATCATGCGAGCCTTATGTGTCCTCGTCGTTCCGTTCTTAGCGCGCGCTCGCGTGCGCCAGCGCTTGGCGATCGACGAGGAGAAACGCAGCTCGAGCGTCGAGTTGTTGGCGTCGGCCAGCGTCGGTGAGCGCCGACTCGCCCGAGTCATCACGGTTGTGTCGGAGGCCCCCGTTGGTTGACACCGGAGGAGGAGCAGGCACCGGAGGAATCGGGCTTTCGGTAATGGGGGGGCGTCAGATGGGGGGCGTCGAGAGTTGCCCTACAGGGGCCCTAAACGAGCCCCCATAGGGCCAAGAAGGGGTACGAAAGGTGCACGAAAGGTGCACCGATCCGACCCCCCCATCGATTGCCCCCCCATTAGTGAACGCACGAAGGAAGGTGCACGGAAACCGTGCCGCCAGGACGTGCTGTGGTGGCGACGCCAGAAGGACAGCAGAGGGGCGCGCCGCCCAGCACGCTGGCCTCGCCGCCGCCCGTGGAAAGGCAGCTCGCGGTGCTATTCGACCCGATCCGATCCCCAGACCACGAGCTCGATCTCGATCCGATCCGACCCGACGCGGATGGATTGTCGGAGGAGGAACAAGTACATATAGGAAAGAGCGTGTTCTGCCGTTGCTGGCGGAAAACATGGGGGGGGATCACTGGGGGTTCCCAGCCCGCCCCCCCCCTCTCTCGAAAGAGGGGCGGGGGGTCACTACCGGTTCGAATCCCCCCAGGCCATCATGGAAATGGGGGGGGCCACTATCGGTTCGACCCCCCCTTCGCCGCCGGCAAACGATTCCCGCTCTTCGGGACAGTAGGACAGCGGTGGGGACACTGGGACACTGGTGGGGACGGTGGTGGTGGAGACAATGGTGTGGCGAGTGGGGCAATGGCGGGCACAGTGGGGACATTAGGGCGCTGGTGGGCACGGTGGTGGTGGGGACTGGCGAGGGGACGGTGGGGCAGTAGTGGGGACAGTGGTGGGGACGGTAGTGGTGGGGACAGTGGTGAGGGCGGTGGTGACGACGGCGGTGGGACAGTGGTACAGTGGGGGGACTGGTGGGGCAGTGGGGACAGTAGGGCATTGGTGGGGACTGGGGACAGTTGGACAGCACAGTGGGACAGCGGCGGGAACAGTGGGGACAGTCGGACAGTTGTGGGGACAGTGGGGACAGTGGGGCAATGGTGGGGACAATGTGGAGAGTGGGACCGTGATGGGGACAGTGGTGGGGACAGTGGGGACAGTGAGACACTGGTGCGGGCACTGGTGTGGACAGTGGGGACAATTGTGGGAACAGTGGGGACAGTGGGACAGTGGGACAGTGGTGGGGACAGTGGGACAGTGGTGGTGGGGACAGTTTTGTGGGGACAGTAGGACAGTTGTGGGGACAGTGGGAACAATCAGTGGTGGGGACGGCGGTGGTGGGGACAGCGGTCAGGGCGGTGGTGAGGACGGTGGTGGGACAATGGGACTGTGGTACATTGGGAACAGTGGTGGGGAGAGTGGGGACAGTGCTGGGAACAGTGGGACAGCTCAGTGAGACAGCGGCGGGGAAAGTGGGGACAGTGGGGCAGTGTTGGGGACAGTGGGGACAGTGGGTCAGTGGCGGGGACACTGGGGACAGTTGGGAGAGTGGGACCGTGGTGGGAACAGTGGTGGAGAGTTTGGGGACAGTCGGAACAGTGGGGACATTGGGACAGTGGTGCTGGGGACAGCGGTGAGGGCGGTGTGAGGACGGTGGTGGGGACCCGGGAGTCGTTTGCCGACGGTGAGTGGGGGGGGTTCGAACCGGTACCCCCCCCTTTGGTTTTCTGGCGGGTGGGAGGGGCGGGAGGGGGGGTCGAATTGGTAGTGACCCCTCCCGGTTTTCCAGAGAGGGGGGGGGGGAAGTGTTGGGGGCGGAGGGGGTTTGTCGGAAGAATTGAGGGGGGGAGGTTCGAGCAGGGGTGGGTGGGTTTTTTTTCTGAAGGGGGGGAACCCCAGGTTCCCGAGTAAGAAGGGGGGAATTTTCCACAGTAGAGCGGCGGTGGATCACGTTCTCCCACAGATAGGGGTACCTTTGTTCCGTCTTCGCCTTCCTGGGCCTCTTCGGAGGCACTCGTTGACACGGCCGGATTCGCCTCCTTACATCTTGGTCATAGCGCACCCTGGGAGAGGTCCGGGGAGTACAGGTATCGATACACATGGGTTTCCCCCAAAGTGGTGCCCCCAGAACAGAGTCGTGAGCAGGTCACGACGCGAGGTCTCCTGCTGCTCTCGGCCAGCTTGCACCTCTGGGGGGCCGTCGGCGGCCCCAGGGCCAAAAGCAAAAGCAAAAGCAGTCTCTCAACACGGCGTGCGCATACATGTTCGGAGCCTGGCATCGCTCGGACGTGTGCATGTTTTCTCGGCGAGAACCACTGAGGACGATCCTGGACCATCGAGCCCCAAAAACACGCACGAAACCGAAACATGCACGGGAAATGGACGTCCGAGCGATGGCGAGGGTGTTCCTCGCGGATTTCGGTGATCGGCGTTGGGGCCCCCCCGGCGGCGTCTGCGGCGCGGCCTCTGGAGCGCTCCGCGCGCGAGGGAGGCGGGGTCCGGCGCCGATCCGAGAGATCCGCGCGGATCCAATCCGAGATCGCGGCTCGATCCTGCTCATGCCCGTCGTCGCGGGTCCCCGCAGGGGCGCGCAGGGGTGGTCGCGCATCGCCACCTCGGCCGGCGAGCTGCTGCTGGTTTTGTCCACGGGGGGCCGGCCTCGCGAGGGCACGAGGGGGGGCGTGCGTCGCGCATCGCGGGGCGTCCCCAGGGGTGGTCGCGCATCGCGACCTCGGCCGGCGAGCTGCTTCTGTCCATGGGGGGCCAGCCTCGCGAGGGCACGAAGGGGGGGCGTGCGTCGCGCATCGCGGGGCGCGGCGCACGGAGGTGGGTGGCCTGGAGACCTCCCTGCCCCAGGAGCAGGATGCACAGAGCCGGTACTCCGTGGCATCTTTGCTAGAAGGCTGGAAATCGTCAGGAGGATCTTGGCTGGTGCTGCGGGGTCGCTGGTTGCCTAAACATTTGTATATCGGGGGTGGACAGACCTCCTACCCTGACACGTCGATTAAGGAATTGGCCGTTTTCGGTTCGCGAGAGGGCGTCGCGGCCGTCATTTTTGCGGGTCCAGGTCCGTCGGTTAAGGAACCCTAAATCAAGAACGAGGCCCCTTTTTGTCCATAGGTTGAACTTCGAGTCCCCATGGAAAACCTAAGGACAACCTAAGGCAAGCTGCGAAACAAGTAAGGAACACTGAGCCCCTCCCCAACGAAGAGGGTTCCTTCTTCAGCGCCCCGACGGTACAGTCCTGCGTTTTCGCCGCCGCCCGTTGCCCTTCGCCAGGCCCGGCAGCGGCAGCGGGCCACTCGTCGGGAGCGTCGAAGACTTCTCCTTCAAGGCGTCCCAGATTAGTAGGTCGCCCCCTGCCAGATCAAGGGTAGCCTCGTGTCCTGTGTCTAGCGACCCATGCCTCCTGCATTTCTGTGGCAACGTGGCCCTCGGAAGGGTTGTGTGTCCTCTCGCGTGTCCTCTCCAATCAAGTCCGACTGTATTTCCGTGGGTGAGCGGGGACATCCACGAGGGGGGGGCTGAGGACTACGCGTGTGCGGAATTCATCAGGGGGCAAAGGTAGGTAGGGGGGATACAGTGGGGGTGCGCATCAAGAAACCATATGCTTTTCGTCAGGGCATCCTGGGTTTCTTCGCTCCTCGCGCTGCGTGGTGACTTCCCGCAGCCGCTGAAGGAGCTGCTGCGTTCAAGGTGCGATGGGTTTTCCTTCAGGTGCACCTCGCGCACGGGTTCTCAGGGTCGGGTTTATTTCAGAGCGTGATTTACCTACCCCGCTTTCGCTTCCAGGCAAAACCAAGCCATACTACGCGCCTCCTCGTCAAGCGGCCTGACCAGTAAAGGCTGCAATTTGGCATCGTTTGGTATCTCTTGGAAGCGAGGGTGGTCAAAAGCGAGGTAGGTTCGTTTTTTTCCCCCAAATTATTGGGAGGGTTTCTTGCGGCCGCGCCCGCGCTGTAGCTCAGGTGGGGATGCATCGATCCCCAGTGGCCCAACTGATCGCTGATATGGGGGCCCGCTAGCACACCCTCCCCAGGAACGTGCAGCTTCGCCATCGAGGGAACGTCGCCGATCCATCGGCAACGCATCGTCGATCCCAGGTCTCCCCTCGATTCGGGCAATGTCTTTATCCACATCCAGAGCGCCTTAGAGTTTCGGACACTCTTCCCAAGAAACATGAGGCGCACTGGATATGGATTATAATCTGCCTCCCAAAGGCTCAAATTGTATTCATATCCGGTGTGCCTCGGCCTTGCGGCGCCCCTTCCAAGAAAGTCCAAGACGCACTGGTATGGATATAAATATTGCCCGCACTAGAGCTGGTCCCCCCAGCGCTCCCCCTCACGTCAGGACTGTCGCCACGACGCCTCCCACGTGCGCGACGCCGAAGCAGCGAGCCGCCCGCGACGACGCCGGGCGCAAGCTGCCCCCGCGCGGGGTCGCGCGCGAGCTCGCGCTCGTCTCCGATTGCAGCGTGGCGGGCGGGCTGCCCGCGCGAGCCGCCGCGCAGGGGCGCCACGTCGTCCTCGCGTGAGGCCCCTTTGGATCGCCGCTCCCACGTCGTCGCTCCCTCCGCCCTCCTCCCTCGTCCCTCCTCCCTCCCTCCCTCCCTCCCTTCTCCTTCTCCTTCTCCTCCTCCTCCTCCTCCTCCTCCTCCTCCTCTCCTCCTCCTCCTCCTCCCTCCCTCCTCCCCTCCCTCCTCCCCTCCTCCCTCCCTCCCTCCTCCCTCCTCCCTCCCTCCTCTCCTCCTCCTCCTCTCCTCCTCCTCCTCCTCCTCCTCCTCCTCCTCCTCCTCCTCCTCCTCCTCCTCCTCCTCCTCCTGCTGCTTCGTCGCTCGACGCGTCCCCTGGCCGCCCCGCGCGCACGTGCCTCGGGGGCCACGGTGCGCCACTCCCTCTCGCCCTGGCCGCCGTCTCGGTTGGGATGGCGGACCGGGCGGGTCTGGAAAAGCAGTGTGTTGCTGCCGCCCCCCAGCCACAGCTCCTCGGGAGAAAGAAGAGTCAAGCAGCGGCGAAGCGGGTCTAGAAGAACAGTGTTCGGAGGTGGACAGCCCTCCTACCCTGACACGTCGATTAAGGAATTGGCCGTTTTCGGTTCGCGAGGGGACGTCGCGGCCGTCATTTTTGCGGGTCCAGGCCCGTCGGTTTCGGTCCCAGGCCGTCTTCATTAAGGGGAGGTTTACTAAAGGGAGGTTTGTCCACCGCCGAAGTGTGCTACCGCCGCATGCCAACGCAGCTGCAAGCTACAATCCCCCCCAGCCACAACTCATCGTAGGGGCTCCCGAGCGGAGTGAACCCCATCCTCCCCCTCAGAAATCGTGGGGGGTAGGGGCAGGGTTCGCATGTGGCCCCCTATCACCGGGAGAAGGAGGAGTCATTGTGTTTGCTCTTAGAACAGCTTTGGGTTCTGAGAACATTTCGTGGTAGGACTATAGGAATGCCAGGACGGCCTGTCCCTGCTCAGAGGAGTGGCGCCACCACCACCAGGGGGTCGGCGGCGAGCCCAGGGGAAGTGAGAGCGGTCGGACCTCCTCAGGCGAGAATCGGAGGTTAATAGACCTCCAACCTTGACACGTCGACCATCGAAGTGGCCGCTCTCGGTGCGCGAGGGAGCGTCGCGGCCGTCCTGTTTGCGGCTCCAGGTCCGTCGGTTTCGGTCTCAGGCCGTTTTCGCTAAAGGGTGGTTCACTACAGGACCCTGCTCAAGTGGGGGGAGGAAGAGATGCGTGAATTCTGCGAGGTTCGAGGCCTCGGCTCCTGGAGGCCTCCGCGGAGACCTCCGGAGCCCTGGGGAGCGGAAACCTCTGGAGGGAACCTCCCTCCTCCTCCTCCTCCTCCTCCTCCTCCTCCTCCTCCTCCTCCTCCTCCTCCTCTTCCCCCTCCTCCTCCTCCTCCTCCTCCTCCTCCTCCTCCTCCTCCTCCTCCTCCTCCTCGGAGAGGGGAGAGCGGGGTCCAGTCCCAGAGGCGTGCCTCCCGCTCGGGGCGCCCCGCCCTCGGGTCGCCTCGGGCCTTCGAGACCTCCACACAGGGGCCTGGCTTGCGGCCCACCCTGTTTCACCAGCCTCAAACTAATCCCTATCCCTGAGATTGACACGCCAAAAGGCGATGACAATCTTAGGGATGCACCCTCAGAAACTGAGGGAATCCCTAAGATCGCCATCGTGATGAGGCGATGCCCAACATGGGGATAGGGATATGTTCTGGGCTTGGGACTGTTGACCCCGGGGAAGGGGAACGGCTGTGCTCAGTCGGCATCGTTTCACCGACCCCTGTCTCACAGGAGGAAAGGTACCCATGCCGCTACCCTTCCCTCGTTTTCGCCTTTCGTTGGCCTCCTGGGTGGCCCTCGTCGCACATCCTGTTGACCTCGGAAAGGGTAACGACTGTGCCAACTCGGCATCGTTTCACCGACCCCTGTCTCACAGGAGGAAAGGTTATGAGGAAAATCCTGGAGGCCTCGCGCGGCGCGTAATAGTAGTATGATCCAGTCTAGTCCACTTGTCAGTTCCGTAAGCTACGGGCCGACGCTCGCGCGGCGATGCTCCGGAGTCAGTCCGGCGTAAATCCGACGTACATCCGACGTAGTCCGACGTAAACCCGACGTAAATCCGACGTGGATCCGACGTAAATCGGGTCTCAAGTCGCTGCGCGATGCCTCCGGGATTTTCTTCATAAGAAAGGTACCCATGCCGCTTCCCTCCCCTCGTTTTCGCCTGTTGTTGGCCTACTGGGTGGCCCTCGTCGCCACCGCTGGATTCGCCTCGGAATCATAGTCAGACCGCATCCCGGGAGAGGTGCGGGGAATAGCAGTATCGGTGGTTCTTGGTTTCCCCCCCCATCCCTCTCACTCTCAGACCCCCACCATCTCGGCTCCCTTTGATCTGCGCTGCACGCCCCTCACCAGCTTGGATGCGCCCCTATCTTTATGTTTTGTTTGGTATCACCTCACCTCGGTGCCCACCTCGCGGGTTCCTGCAGTTTCTGAGGGCACATCCTTGAGACTGTCATCGCCTTGGGCATGCCGATCTCAGGGATAGGGGTAAGTTCGAGGCTGGTTACCTCTGGCGGCGCCTCTAGCGCCGCCCCTGGCGTGCTGTGCGAAATGGAGCGGATCCAGCGCCGATCCAAGAAAATCCGCGCGCGCCTCCGAAAGTATATGTCTGTGCAGGTCGTTTCCTTTTCTCTGGCCTTCGTTCTCGTGGCCACATTCCGACTGCTGAAGGAGGGGAGGAGGGGGAGGAGGCAATGGAGGAGGGGGACAGGGGAGGCGGCAAGGGAGGAGTGGAAGAGGGACAGGGGCAGGAGGAAGAACGAGGAAGGTGAGTTGGAGCAGGAGGAGGAGGAGGAGTAGAAGGAGGATTATGTTGTGACCATATTTTGACTTTGCGCGGGGGTGTGCGTCGCTCCCCATCCCCCCACGCCGAGGCCGACAGAGAGTGCCGGTGCAAGGTCCTGAAGCTCATCGGCTCGCCCAGCCTGGAGAAGCTCACGGTGGAGCTGCAGGCTCTTTGCGTGGGGGGAGGAGGATGACGGTGAGAGGAGGAGGAGGAGGAGGAGTAGGAGGAGGAGGAGGAGGAGGAGGAGGAGGAGGAGGAGGAGGGTAGGGAGGAGGAGGAGGAGGAGGAGGAGGAGGAGGATTGGGAGGGGAGGAGGAGGAGGAGGAGGAGGAGGAGAAGGGGAGGAGGAGGAGGAGACTGAGATGAGGAGGAGGAGGAGGCGAGGCGGCGGCGGAGAGGAGGAGCTCGGGGATGGAGGAGGGAGGAGAGGGAGGAGGAGGAGAAGGCGAGAGGAGAGAGGAGAGAGGGGATTAGGAGAGGTGGAGGAGGGAGGAGGAGGAGTACAGGAGGAGGAGGGGAGGAGGTAGGAGGAGGAGGGAAGGAGGAGGAGGAGGAGTGAGTAGAGGAGGGGAGGAGGAGGAAGGAGGAGGTATGAGAAAGTAGGAGGAGGAGAAGGAGTGAGGAGGAGGGGTGAGAGAGGAGGGAGGTGGGCGGAGGACGACGACGACGACGACGAGGAGGAGGTGGAGGTGGAGGAGGACGAGGAGGAGGAGGAAGAGGGTGGCAACGTCAGTACGACATTCATGCCGTCAGTGCCTCAGTGCCTCACCTCAGTGCCTCAGCAGGAGGAGGAGAATGAGGAGGGGGAGGGGACGGCAGCGTCTGACAGACACCATTGTCACTGGCCACTAGCTCTAAGCTCCAAGGACGGGGAGGAGAAGGAGGAGGAGGAGGAGGAGGAGGAGGAGGAGAAGAGCGGAAGCAGAGGATAGGAGATGAGAGGAGAGTATAGAAGAGTAGATGAGAGGAGAGGCATGAGTAAGAAAAGGATCAGGGCTAGTACGATTGATGCCCACTCCTCTCCCTCAATGAAGAATGAGGGCGGGGACTACCATTTGCCTCAGCTGTCTTTTGGAGGAGCAGGAGGAGCAGCAGCAGCAGCAGGAGGAGGAGGAGGAGGGGGGGGCGGGAGGGGAAGGGAGCGGGGAGGAGGGGAGGGGAGGAGGGGAGGGGAGGAGGAGAGAGGCGCCCAGCACACCGGTCGGCGCCCAGACGCTGCGAGCGCACGCGCGCGGAGTGAGCTCCGTGCCGGTCCCAAGGGTGGCGGGAGTCTGCTTCGGGTTTCGTCAGTGGGAGGTCCTGTCCCGGTCACGGCCGCCCAGGTGGGGACGGAGCTCAGTCAGAAAGGACAAGAGGGGCGCATCTTTCCAACCCAAGGGTGCCCGTGCATCCTAGCCTCGCGGCTCATCCTAACCCTTGGGCCCTTGGGTCATTGGCCATGGGTTGCCAGCTTCGGCTTCGATGTGGGTGGCCGAGGGCCTTGCATCCTTACCGCGCGTCCTTCTGGTCTGGTCGCACTCTGGCTGTGGTCGGGGGATCGTGCCGCCTTGCCGATGCATCGGCGATGCTGTGAGAGCCTCCGACCCCTGTGGCTCGGGCTCCGACTGGGAGGACGCTGGAGGTCGAAGCAGCAGCCGATCCAAGTCGGTGCCAGACACTTCACGCGAATACCCTGGCAATCATTGTCATGGGTAGTTCCGTGTTGTCTCCGATGTTGAGGTTCTCTGCGCGGGTTTGCCTATTGCAGGTCGGCCTGTGCGGTGTTCGGGGTTTGCATGGCGCTTCTCTGGGGGCATAGTTATAGCCGACGCGTTGAGTTTTGTCTTGCTTCCCGAGTGTGCAGCATACCCCGAGGGGAGTCCAGACCTCCATCAAGCAGCCGTCAGTCGGCCACCTGAGCTCGGCGCCCGCTGCCGATCTTTGGACAAGTCTGTGCCAGGAGCCGTGCCGGGGTTTGTCCCGGCCTGTCGTTCGAGCCGCGTGTAGCCGTGGGGGCGAGGTGCCCGCCGAAGTCCAGGTGTCCGCAGTCTGCACCCGTGCACTACGAAGGCCAGGAGGGCGCGTGCACCATGCCATGGCCCAGAAAGCGGCGACGGCAATGCACACGCGTTGGTGCACGGATGCCTTCTGCGCGCGTTGCTCTCTTTCTTTTCAGTTTGCACGAGGTTGCCAGTGCGGCTCTGTTCGCACATCTACAGCCCCCGTGTGACCGTCCTGTCTTCGGCTCCACATGCGCGAAACGCAGCAAGTACACAGCATTACCGTGACCGCGCAGTTTTTTGTGTATTTTGGCCATCCACTGCCCGATCCGATCCGACCGGTTCGCCAGGCTCGATCTGATTCGGTTTGAATGTTCCAGCGATTTGATGCGGCCCGATGCTTGCATGGCACGGCTGCGTTTCCTGGAGCAGCCCATGTGGTCCAGTTTCGACTCAGAGCGGATGTAGCCAGATCCGACGCGAATTCCGATTCGATTCGATTTCCCGATTAGGTGGTGATTGATGTTGGGGGCAAGTT